AAAAACCTATTGTTTAACCCTTTTTTCACTACGGATGACTATAGTCACCGACCACGAAAATGGAGCCAAAAGTTAACACATTGCGCGCCGGCCGCACGATAATGCGGGATTTTTAATCTATCGTTTAATTGCTAATCCTACGTTCATGTAACATTTTGAGATATGTATAACACAAATCCAAAGTAAAATTACAAAATCGAATTCCTTATTCTTTTTCGTAAATTAGAAGTTTCGGCTTGATTGATGTTTAAAAATGTATCAGTATAATCACCGACGCTCGCGTTTTTACTAGCTGAAATTTAGTCGGCGTACAATGTGTTAAGATAATATAAACAATAGCAAAAATATGTTCATGGAAAAATGATAAACACATTGTTATGAACACAAATCATTTTGCTTCTAAAAGCAGTGCCATAGCGACTCAACCACAGTTGCAAATAATAGCATATAATTCCTTTTCAGTATTACAGACTGGATCGTTCCCTTTCCATCAATATCAAAAACAACTCTGAATTCCACTAAGTATGTCCCAAAATTAAGAAAATCCACGTCCATCCAAAAAGAGCGTCATACACCGACAGTGATAGTGTGAACAAAAGTTGCTCTAACGATGTACATAATACGGAACAGCATAATACTTCGGAAAATAAATAGCTTGGTGTGTCAGTTACCATGAGAAACACTTCATTAGTAGTAGAAAACAATAATATTAACAATTGGACATTAATTATAAATTTGTCATTGAACACGAAGCATTATTTTTTTTGGTAGTGTATATAATGTTCTAGGAGACGCGTTACATTGTTAAATTTCTTAATATAGGTAGGCTAAAAAATTTTACTTTTCCACAATTTATCATTAAACATGTTTGTTTTTTAAAAATACTTGTTACTTTTCTCTCAGCAAATATGAGTAAGTACCTCACGTTCTATATTCGGTACACACTCTTTGTTAATGTTACATAATATTATGTTATACTTTTATTTTATGGTAGCAATTACAAAGTTTATAATAATGCAAAAAAATACGTGCAGTGTATTGTGTTCACGAAGAATGTAATGGTTCCGAAAAGGTATACAAGAAAGCAAAAGAAAAACTAATATGACATAAGTTTAAAAAAGTGAAAGATTTGTTTATGTATTCTTTCTAATTCCATAAATATTCATTTCTCGTGATAAAAATGAATTTTATTCACAAATTACGTACGTCTTCCATATTAGATGCCATTACTGTAATTTTCTGCAAAAAAGGATATCACTCTTGTATCAAGGATAGACATTTTTTTAAAATCGGACCGGAATCTTGAAAATTTTCAAAAATATTAGAAATTCATGGCAATTTTTTGGATTTTTCTTAAATGTTTATTAAATATCATGTATGTATTGTTTATGAACTTAGTAGGCATTATATGTCGGACCAAAGACCGTATCTATACATGTATGCAGTGAATTTTCAAATTCGATTTTTTTCACAGTTAAGTATCGGACAAAAAATTTCGCACTCTGTATATTATAAGAATAAAGTAAAATATTTTAGCGTGATGTCAAACGAAGACATAAACATAAGTGATGGCTGTCTACTCCAAAAGTGGTATTTTTTTACTAGATATAAACGGCAAACGAGCTTCTTATGTTTACGAGTACATCACAAATACTATACACACATACACGCGCCCCTCCATTTACGCGACACTTTTTTATGCGGTAAGTTATAACACTGCTACGCGTATTTTTTATACGCGATATTAATTTACGCGATCCGAATGTAGCGATACCGAATAAAATTTCCTTTTGTTTTCTGAAATGTCATTGTTATTATTTTTTTGTTTAACTACGCGAAACAAATGTGTATTTCTAGGACATATACCAGCTTTTCCTTCCAATATCTTGTGTTCTTTTGTACTGGTAGACTCTATTTACGTGATTTTCATGGAATGGCGAATGTATCAACAGGATTCAATGTGCGAATATTATTAATTCTTCATGAGCATCTAAGGAACGAAGGGCTCGACATTTTTGTAAAAGGAAAACTTTGTTCAAGATATTGATTTATAAAAGATAAATATAAATATAAAAGTCAGTGCACGGTATATAGACTGAGCCGAATAGGATCATAGGGCGAATCGGATAAAACTAAGAGTATTGTTCGTATTTGTTACGTTGTTATAGAAACGAGCATGCTAACCGTCCATATTGCTTCACATACCTTCTCTGCACTTAATCCAATACATCTGCAATTGTTTGAAACCGTTGTGTGCTAGCAGCACGTGTTAGAATCGAATCGAACAAGTGCAAACGTAACGAATTCGTGACTAGTCTAAAATACGTAGTTGGAATTTCGCATTTAAAATGGCAAGCTAAGCTTGGAAATTCAAATGTGTTTATTATTATTAGTCTTTAAGGTGTCTAAATTTAGTACTTTGGATTGTTATATTGTATTTTGTTCATTTATCGTATCCACTTTGAAATCCTTCAAAATGGGGCTATTCGGATTAAATCAGGAGGGGTGAATTGGATCTCTGTTTTCCCTCATTTTTTTATGCTTATGATTATAAATATCATGATTATTTATGTACAGATGTACAAAAAAAGACAAATCAAGCATCACGCAGGCCAGATACAATAAAAGACACAATAATAAAAGTTAACTCTAAATAACTGACCAAATGTCAAGTTCTGGAAATTTATCGCATATCTTGTGCAATCCTACAAAGACGACTCACTTGTCGAATAATTAAAAAAACCAATTTTACATTTGACATCGTCTGTCAATAAAATGATACTCCTTGAAAAACAACAGAAGAAGTTAGAGACTAGGGCAAAGGACACTATTAAAACAGGAATGAAGACTAATAAGGACGGATGAATGAATAACAGAAGTACAGGATTTTCCAGAGAATAATATTGCATTTATTGCAATGCAAAATGTATCCACCCACCATTAAAAGATTACGTTCAATGTAATCTTCGCAAAGTATTGTGTCACGAAACCTATGCTAATATATGTACTGTACAGCGAAAAACTGATAATTGAAACTTATAATGAACAGTTTTTTTTATAAACTTCTTATTAATACACATTCAGTTTCAATATCAACGAACAAATTTTTGAAAAACTTGTGAAATGATGATTTTTTAATTTTTCAAAAATTTTTTTGTTGATATTGAAGCTGAATGCTTATTGATGAGAAATCTATGAAAAAATATGTTGATTCCAAGTTCTAACTATTAGTTTTTCCGTGTTAAATCTGAACTGATCGGATTCGCTTCGATCTACCCTAATTAATCTACAAGTTGATCCTATTCCCAATTTAATCTACTGACGATGTCACTCGAGTGTTACATGTCGATTTGAATGAAATTTACATCTTACATAGTTTACAGAAAAATATTTGACACACTTTTTTTTATTTGCTATAATCCATATGTAGTGGGTGAAAATTGTCCGTAAAATTTGGGATGAAAATGATATTTTCCTTAATATTTCGAAAATTATTTATTGTAGAACAAAATTTTTTAAACAAAAGTTATCTATCTTTTACCAGAAAATTTAAGTACTTCACTGCTATGGCCTGACTGACTTGACGAACGTAACTTTAATAGTTAGTGGTGTATTGTAATTTATTAATTACTTATTCTAGCTGTGATATATATAATTAGAAAATGTAATACAATAATATATATTATACGCGATATGAATTTAATTAATCCGAAATTTTGTCGGATGACTGATGTCACCGTTAGTAGCGACAGGGTTACGTTTTTTTTAAATATCAATTTTGAAAAAAGACATATTAAAAATTATTAGTCTTTTAATGTCTTTCCTGCAAATTCTGACACAATATTTGTAAAGATTTATTAATATAAGTTTCAGACCAATACCAAAAATGCGGATGTTTTTGAAATTTGTTATTTCATCCCTCCAATTCAAAATCCTTATACAATTGTCTTCGTAAGATAATTTTCGAAGAATAAAAACTATAGCGTTATGTGTACGATATTAACGAATCATCTATCTCAGATAACTATCCTGATACTAAATTTAAAAATTAAAGTAAATACACGAAATTCGAAAGATTTTATGTTACATGAACAGACAGTTATCATTTTAGATCTACAGGGTATTTTAGGATGGATAATACAATAAATCAGAATGGATTCGTACGTTGTTTCGTTTTGGAGAATTTCGAGAAAATCAAAGTTAAAAATTGTCCGACACGTGTACACTTGAATGACTCCAGAGATACTAATTTTGTAGTCACTAGTACTATGAACAATATTAAGTCATAATGCACTTCAGCAATTTTAGTAACAACTTTTATTGATCTATTATACTTACTAGTTAATGAATTCTTGAAATGCTCGTTGAATCAATGATGCGTTTACTGCTGGTAACGGCCAAATTTATAATTTAGATTTTCTCGGAAACGAAGCAACATGCGACAAAAGTTTATTGCATATTTTTAACTCATTTTTTCACGTAGAATCACTTCCCTCGTTTTTATATCACCCATCCTGAGACATCCTGTACATCTACGTCAATGCTTTTCAACTCTGCAATTTGTCGCTATACGTCTCGTATACTTTCTTCGTCAAACAATCCGATTAGTAAGTACTTTTCTTCAACCAATAATACGCTAGGACCGAAAATGATATAAAGTGGGGTATATGTACTTATTCCGTTGTAACCAATTAGACCCGCATAAGTAAATATTTTTCACTGGACACATTCCAGTTTAGCACAGTAGATGTACAGATATATTTTAGTGTAAAATAAACATGGGGTCACCGGTGACTTCCAAATCGAATTACTATAGTTCATTCAAATTAAACGATGATTATCTGAAAATATTTCTATATTATGACTAATGCTACCTAATGCGGTGACATTCAATAATAACACAATTCAATCAAATGATTTAATATTATATTTTTTCCATTTTGTGTATTTTGCTTCATGAAATCGTGCGGCATTCAACGTGTTGAATCGTTTTCTTACAGATGGCTACACGGTGGGGTATTGCAAGCGCTGGAAAAATTTCCCACGATTTCGTATCGGCTTTACGGACATTACCAGCATCCGAACATGAAGTTGTCGCGGTTGCAGCAAAGGACCTTTCACGAGCACAGGCTTTTGCTGACTTGCATAAGATTAAGAAAGCATATGACAGTTATTTAAAATTGGCACAAGACAAAAACGTCGGTGAGTGGTATATGTACCGTGTAAATTCAATCGGTGAAGTAAATAATAATATATTCTATTAAGCAATAATTACTTATAGTAATATTAATCATTTAAAATTGTAAATCTTGTCTATTAAACATTTTGTTTGACATATTTATTTATAAATTATTAGTTTTCACGGACTTCTGAATAATGAAAATACATATATTTAACTTTTACAGTAATATAATTTACAAATAATTATACATAACAACCAGATAATTAGTGGTCGAATGTTCTTTTTTAATTATCGATAACTATTATTAATGAGAGAAATTGATTTTGGTTTCTCGTAACAGGTATCGACGAGGGAAGTTTTTATTGCGCACAATACTATAAAGTATTGCTTTGGATTCGATCAAAGCAATAAAATTCTCTTTTATAAACAAACTTTTTAATAAAAAATCGCGAAAATATCTTATTTAGGTAGAACATATTCTGCTGCGTAATAATTAAATTAAAATACAATTTCTCTCATCATTCGCAATTGTCATGAGTTACCGAAATGAACTTCTGTTATCGATAATTATTATGAACAACCAAATTAAATTTCTCTCGTCAATAATGATTATTATGAATGAAAACAAATTTCATTCTCTTATAATTATTATTTGCAATTCAAAATATTTTAGTTCAGAAAATAATTAATGTTCTACAACTCCTTTTCATTTGGATGAAAACGTCATAGTCCCCGCTTAAAACAATTCATGTGGTCGCGATGCGTTTACGTAACTTACATTCAAAATTAGGTAAAATCAGGCATGCGAAGTCACTCACAGTCATTTATATATAATTGTGTGCAGCGCCGATTTTGATGATCTTGAAGTATGTTGTCAAAACCGGGGCTTCCCTTTATTTTTCGAAATAATCATGAAACAAAATAATCTACCGAAGTAAAGTTTAGGCATCTAAACTGCCAATCGTTTAATTAAATCAGATAATCGAGGTCCTACTGTACTTTTTGCTCTTTTACTTTTCTTGTGTTCCTCGGGTTTCTTTTTCCCTCTTGTATCCTACCGCTTTTCTTATTCCAATCGACTTCTTCCATCTTCTACCCTTTCCTTTCCTTCGGTTCCTTCCTTCTTTTATATATTTATTTCCAGTCTGTTTTTTCCTTCATCATTTCTTTTTTATTTACTTGTTTTCCCTCGCTTTAACAGCGACACTAATAGTGTTAGTACTAATCAGTCTTTCCTCTCAGTTCTAGCTTTCGCATTTCTCTCCATAGCAGACTCTCCTACCAATCACATAATTCATTGTAGTTTAATTCTGTCCTGCTCCTCAATTTACTTATATATTTGAAATATTATAAAAAAATAAGATCACGTAGATTAATAACAGGTTCTTCATAATATTCTAGAAAAGACTAAACAAGCGAAATGATGTTGAACAGATGAAAAAATAAGTAGGTCAAAAAGACCCGGAGAACGCAGCGGAGTTAATGAAGTCTGTGTTTCTAGATATTTCAATTTTCCCTCCAGATCCCATATTTATCCTTCTTCCTCAACAGTTTTCCCATTTCCTTCTCCTCTTTTTCAGGTATCTCTATTGACTGATTTTTAACAATATTACGTACGAATTGACACCTGGTTATATTGCAATTGAACATTAACAGGCATTACACACCCATAAAATTGAAATTGCGATCATCGATGTACGAAACGTAATGTCAATTTATATTATTTGAATCGTGTTACAGAAGTCGTATATATTGGGGCACTAAACCCCCAGCATTCGGAAATCACAAAATTAATGTTGAATAACGGCAAACATGTTTTGTGTGAAAAGCCTTTAACTTTGAACTTGAAACAAACAACTGAATTAGTTAATTTGGCGAAAAGCAAAAATCTCTTTTTAATGGAAGCTATTTGGAGTAGATGTTTCCCCGCATATGAAATGGTGAAAAAGGAGATTGAGAGTGGAAGCATTGGAGAAGTTTACCAGGTTCTTGCATCTTTCGGATTCAATTTGAGCGAAGTTGAAAGGATTAAGTAAGTTACTTATAAATTTATTTATTTATTTTGCATTTCTTTCACTATACAGAGTAAGTCTCTTAATCGGGTTGGGTTTCGAAAACGATAAATAGCACAAATGAAATTATAGAAACAGAAATTGAATGATACGGGACGGTGTAATTTTCTACAGGATTCCTTTCTGTATGAATGCAACGATGCACTTAGAAAATGTCAAAGCACTTTTCAATGAAATCATATTCTTTTTTGCTGTAAATCGATTAATCACAACAATTTGCGTAAAAAAGTATTAGCGAATAAAAAAATTCTGTTAGCAAAGTAAACGAAAATAAATTATCCTTACAATAGCATTTTCAATGTTCAATCTTTAATCAGTTGAAAGTCTATAAATATTTAAAGTTGATTTTTTTTAGCGAAGGAAGGGAAAATTGACTTTATCAAGCCATCTGTTCGTTTTCCAAGATGATTAAAACATCATACGGTACTTTAAAAATTTATTTTCATCTGTTTTGCCGAAAGAATTTGTTATTTCTTGCATTTCAGTGACTTCTATCGGTCATTTTAATGTAGTTTTAGTATTTCATACTTCTTGGTAATAAAGAAAATAAAAAATATAGTCAAAACGTGGCTTAATATTCTCCATAAATCTTTCAGTTTTTACTAAATACTTACAGGCGAGAAAAAGCTGTGTATGATCACTTTTTTTTTCTTCAATAATCTCGGTACTTTTAGAAATAATTAATCCATACATAAGTACAGATATATTGCACGTACATGTATATAAACACGCATGAATGTGAATAATTGCGAGTAAATCAGGTTTGTAGGATTCGAGCTCCATTATCAAGGAAGTAGACTAGAAACCCCTATCCCCCATCTTTGGGATTTTTATTCTTTTCTACTAGCACAGTTCTTTGTTAACAACAGTGCATAATATTGTCAAGACGTATCAAAGAGAAGTCGCTACTGCATTTTACATGATAAGTGACATACATGACCAACTTCCCATGTTATATGTCTTAATACTGTAACGTTAAATGTGATTAAATAATAATGTTGAATTATGTTAATCAGTTTAAAGTCATTTAACTAAAGAAACTTTTTCTATTTAGGTCAAAACAGATGGGAGGTGGAACAATATTAGATTTGGGCGTGTATGGAATACAATTTGCTTGTTTAATATTTGATCACGAAGTACCACATACTATACGAGCTTCTGGTTGTTTAAATGAAGAAGGTGTTGATTTATCTGCGTCTGCGAATCTCCACTATAAAGGAAATCGTACTGCAACCTTGCTCTTCCACGCACTGGTTGACTTGCCAAATGAAGCCCACATTATTGGGACGAAAGGAATAATAAAAATACCGCAGTTTTGGTGCCCTATAAAAGTGGAATTCCCAGACAGAACGGTGGAATTTTCACTTCCGGAAAATAATCAAAAATTTAACTTCATTAATAGTGTTGGATTAAGATATGAAGCTGATGAAGTTCGCAAATGTATTCTAAAGGGTATAGTACACATTTTTATATTACACTTAAATCATAGATATGTTTGAATAGAACAAGCTACGACACACTGATAATGAGTCGAATCACTTTATGTTATGTATTGTTCCATTTTTACTTGTTAGACAAGATCGTATTTATTTGTAATCATTCTAAATAGAGGTTTTTGAAAATATTTTTTTTTCGTAAAATGTTTAATCGAATGCTCGCATTTTTATAAAAAGTAAATAAAAATATTTATTCCTAGCTCTTCGTGAATTAGTTATTTATTTATTATAAGTCAAATGCTGCATCTTAAGATATAGATGAGATTAATTTCAAGCTGTGATCTACATGAAAAGGGTAACGAAATTGGGTTTTACTTAAAAATGGCAACGCGACATTCGTAGCAGTTTTTGGAAGTTACCTTAGGACTAAACAGATAATAACACAATATATAGCACTTAATGCCTTACAACTGTTGTCTTGAACTTTCTTCGTATAATTCATATTTTTCGAGAAAATTAGGTGTTCTCAGTTAACAGAAATACATTACATATGTGAACAAATATGATGAAATGTATGCACGTATGACTGTAATAGATGAATATAAACTAATTCTTATTTTTTTTATTACATTATAAATGTTAAATAATGAAAGTACTTAAGGATATACTTTTTCTAACTTTTATTATTATATATTTTAGGTGTGATCGAAAGTCCTAAGGTACCGCACAGTGCTTCTTTGTTAATTGCACAATTGGAAGATGAAATTCGAAAGCAAGTTGGTGTTGTATTTCCTGAAGACTAAAACACAAAATCTACAAAAAGATATGTAATTTTATTGCAATAATAAAGACTATACTTTGCAGATTATATACGATTTTTTATTTGTAAGATATACGATAGGTGTTTATGTTATCTACATATTCGACTTGGGATGTTACGTCAAAGTAAAACATCAGGACCAATAAAATTATGTTTTCGATATTGTTTCAATTACTCACGATTAAAAGGCTAATTATTTAGATAGATGTTCTCCTCGCCGATTTCAATGATTTTTGGATATGTTGTCAGGAACGTAATTCTAAGCCACTTTTCTTGTATATATAAGTCCCGCTGGATCTTAGGATAACAGATATGGATCTAGTCGATAACCTAGTAGTGGTACAGATTTCTAAAGTCTAAAAATAAGTTCCTTCACACCCTTGAAAAAAGTGTTTCCATTTCTTTAATTAGGAAATTACATTGCAAGACTTCTTTATTGAAAATTAAATGCATATAAAACTATCTCAAGTTTTAATGGCTACAATGTTATTGTTTATTCATAATAATACTTTTGAAGCGAGGTTTCTTTTTTGAAACAGCTACGCGTAAGTCGTAAATGCGTGAGACAACGGACGGTTCTCCTTGTTAGACCCGCACTCCTTATATTTGCCGTCTTTCCTGTAAATGACAGTAATGACAGTGGGAATAGGGGTCCCAAAAGTCGACGTAGCATTCGCTAATTTTTTACAAGCAGTCAGCTAGTACTTTCAATCAAAAATTAGAAACTTCTCTCACACCCCTGGAAATGCTTTCTCGCACCCTACGGGTGTACACACCCCGAGTGAAGAACTACTGGTATATAGAGAGTACGTTAAAAAGAAGTAACACCGCAGTAATCGAGTGGTAACAGATTTTCCTTATTTAAGATGAACCCTGATCGTTGTGACTCAGGATTTGGAGACGGTTTTATAAAAGATCCCTGAAAACAGTGACCCACTAGGTGCAACGCGATGCGTTGCAAATAGCGTGGATTGACCATCCAACACTGTTATAGTGTTTTTGTTTATGACTTAATTCTTTAAAATTATTATTGTTTAAATTTTACTTTTATTTTATCTTGTTTGTCTCGCCAAATAATCTCGAACGATGTACATGAATCATATTATAGAATCGTTAACTATAAAGGGAAACATCTATACATATAAAAAAGTATGTAGGAAAAATTACAAAAATAAATTAATAAAAATACACCTGTTTTAAAGTTGTCTTTCGAACAGTATATCTATTCTCAAATTGTCCGCCGAATGACATACGATAATGTTTTCCATATTGTTCCTTAGTTAAAAATCGTACTAGAACAATAGATTTAACGAAAGCAAATAAAATAAGTTAATGTGATCCAAATTAGGGAGGAGTGGGGTAATGGCGGTCACTTAAGCAGTCACAACTGCAATACAATGAAAATATCAGGTAAAATATTTATTCAAATGAGTGTTTCATAAATTTAAATTATTTATGTACGGTTACAATACCTAAACAATACATAGATTTACAGTTAAAATATTATCAAATTGGAAGCAAATATGGCATTTATTTTCTATTTCACTTATATCACTATTATCATTGCTTTTCATAATAGATTAATGTAATGATTAATTTGACAAGAAAATCAATATTTCTTATTCTTCTCCTTCCTACTTTGATTTTTTTTATAAGATTTTCCCTCATTTTTTCTCATTTTATGTTTTTTCTTTTTTTCTACCAGATATTTTTTGTTTATTGAAGAAGTTAGAAATGTAACATGCTGCCTTTATCGACCTAGAGTTATCTTGCCTTTTTATTTTCAACTATGGAGCTGTAAGAGCAATGTTTAATGATTTACCATTAAATATTCGCATCGTGTAATCATTTTCAATAAGCTCAAATGCTTTTCAAAGACTTTCAGGAGTCCATTGGGTTTCTTCAACTTTTCTAAACCGTGTCTTTATTATCCGCCAAGTAAAGTTGTAATAAAGAAGAATATGTTTATAACGCACTAATAAATAACGACGGTCATATTGTGGGTACGCGACCATCATTGCCCGCACATACATTAATCGATGAAATTGAATATTAAATATATAAATAAAAAATATTTACATGAAATATGAATACGGACCTTCCTATTTGTAATATATCTATTAGTAATTAAAGTTAAATTGTAAGTAAGGGCTTCAAAATTAATGCTAACTTCTTATGTTCTGCACGGAAAATATTACATCAATCATGCTAAAGAGCAGATAAAGCTTATTTTTCTTTGTTGTGGAGCAGCGACTGAGTGGAAACTTCACATAAGACATTTTACAGTTTACAGTTTACAGAATTCTCATGCAGAAAAAGCTACAAATAAAAATGTTAAACCGCCGTTTTTATTATAACTGTCATGCTTGTATGTGTTATTACACCGATACACCGACTTTTAAATTTCTCGGCTGTTTCAGTTATCATTCCATCCTTTTCTTTTCTGATCTGTCGACAACTACTGGTGGTACAAAAGCGAGTCGTGAGACTTGAAAACCGTGTTCTTAAGTGAGCTATTCTGCTGTTCTTAAATTGTCCTAACGTGATTTCGAGCGGTGGGACAATTCAAGAAAGATTACTATATAACGTGACATTTATAGGACGTTTTACGGTCACCTCACGGTCAAATACCTCCCACTGTAATATTGGGTATTTCACACTTTGCAACTTTTTCCTAATATATTTATTCGTATCACTATATTTTGAGATAATTCGGTGTTCTCAATTCAGTTGCAATTGTTTGTAAAATAAAACCTATTTTTATCTTAGACACCGATAAAATTTCGACTCATGTTCACTGAGAGTTTCTCTTTACTCACGATCAGTTTAATGAGTTGCATAAGTCTTTTTATCTGTGCATCATAATTTAAGAGTGTCCTGTATATTGGTATCCAGTTATCTCAGGTGAGAACCAAATATAAATCAGGGGTGTCGAACTGGAAGTTCGCGAGTTTCAGGGTTTTCGCTCTTACGGAGAGTTACCCTCTTAATACATAATATATACAAAATATAATTATACTTATTTGAAGATACATAAAGTTAAATTGCACTGCTCACATTCTATTTTAGTTTAGTTCGCACTTTTCTTCTGAAACAAAGAATAAAATAACTTCTCCTGTCTTTGTAATCAATCATAATTTCCAAGAGATTTTTGTCCTTTTAATTCCTCTTAAAAGATCTTTTTTTAGTTTGTATCTGGTGATATGATAAATTTTAAAGGGATGATCACTTTAAAATAAGCTGGATTAGAATTGGTCAAGTTGTTTTTGACTTATATACCAAACCACGTACCTAGGTAATATGGTCTTGGAACGCAAATAGTTAAAGTTACTTGAAAAATATTAAATTAATGAAAAATCATTGTAGATATAACAAACTTTATAAAAGGACGCACATTTCTTCTATTTTTAGAAGAATATAATCAAATTTAAACTTTGTAATATTGAAATTAATTCTAATGATTAACAAAGAAATTATAACTCCTTGGAATCCCCAAATACCTACCTCGTATGAAATTAATAAAATCAAGTTAGAACTCAATTATGAATGCTAAGAAAGGAAACAGGATTAAGTACGTGACATGGTTTATTTGACATATACAACTAGTAATACAGACGTCTCACCAATACCTCATAGTATAAGCAAAGACATGACCGCCTGCTTAATTGATGCAGCGTACTGAATAGAAGGGGTTGAAAAATGAAAGTTTCAGTAACTAAAATTGAGACAAGACACATCTTGTATAAGGCTGATTATTAAGCGACTAATTTGTCGAAGACAAAAAAAAATATGCAAGGCGATGCACAGTAGTACAGATTTTAATAATTTTTCTACTTATCAATAAGCAAAGAAAATTTAAGACATACATAGATCACATAAAATAGCCATATCCAAATGTACGTTTTATAGCATCCCAGTAGTACCTTTCCCAGTTTTCTTTTATTGATTCCTCTTCACTGTAAAAGAAAAATACACTTTATTTAATAATCAGTTTTTAAAGCTTATTGTACAAAGAACTATCAGTTGCTCTAGCACTGCCAATATAAGACAACAATGGAAGACATAAAAACACATTATTTGAATAAGTTTCTTATGGCTTTATATGAATATTTACATTTTGAAAGTTAGACGTGTATAATGAGTTGACCATCCTTAACATGATATGAGTACTACCAAAATATGAACAAACTTTTTTTTAGAAATTTCAGAAGACATTCGAAGTGTCGAATAATCATAGAGTGGTGGAAATGTATTGAACAATAATGTTAAAAAGTTGATTCATAAGACTTTGATCCCAATGAATTTTACATAAAATTGTGCAACTATATGTAATACCTATAATGATGTTAATGTAAAATACATATTATTCTTATGTTATAATTTATGTGACTGTTATTTTGTATACGTATTGTAAAAATTTTATTATAATTAAAAATAGATCAAATATTAGTACATAATTGAAAACCTAGGATTCGTGCGAGTATGAATATGTAACATTTATATTAATATATTGTTGCGCTGAGTAGGTCCAGAGGTGCTCGCCCGCGACATAATTGTGTACTCAACGTTCTTTTCAAAGTTCTATTTACAATTATATACAAATATTGTACAATATGTATGAGATGTATTTTCTCGTTCACGTTCGGTCGGAGACTACTCGCTTGTCTTCATTTACTCTCTGACCAACTCCTTAGTGACCAGTTTATTTCAACCGTCTTTAGGTCCTAAGGGTTGATTCAGCCGTGCGTGCTGAAGGGACGAGTTCGATACATCGCAACCTCGTCAGTTCGATGTATCGTAACATTGCCCTCCTCCTTCATTGAGCGTCGACTGCGTCAAGCTTCACACGTAAAGTCCATCTTCCCTTCGGTTAGCCGGTGTAGCGGCCGTGCGCACTTCTTTGCGGAAGAAACTACATTTCTTGGGGTTCATCAAGAGCTTTGCTTCGCGTAGGCAGGTGAACACCTCTTTCAAGCGTTCTACTCCCCCTTCGAAGGTCTGTTCAAAGACAATTATGTCGTCCAAGTACACTAAACAGATCTTCCAAGTCAGATCTGCGGGGACAGTTTCCATGAGCCTTTCGAAGGTAGCTGGAGTGTTGCACAGTTCAAATGGCATCACTTTAAATTGCCATAATCCGGACCTTGTGTAAAAGGGTTTTCTCTCGATCCCTTTTATCGACAGGGATCTGCCAATACCCACTTTGGAGATCAATCGTTGAAAACCAAGAGGATCCAGAAAGGGCGTTCACGGTGTCTTCTATCCTGGGCAGCGGATAGGAATCCTTCTTGGTTACAAAAACGAGCGCTTCCATTCTTTTTTTTTCTTGCTTCTGCATCTTTGCCAATAACTCGTCATCTCCGGCACGGCGACAGAACGGTAAACATCGTGGCGGCTGCTTAATCGGAGCGTAATCTCCCGTGTTGATCTTGTACCGCACGACCTTACACACTTCCCCACTTGCTCAGGGTTTTCGGCAAAAACGTCCTGAAATTCTTTCTTTTTCAGTAAGTTGTCCGGAACAACGGTAGTACAGGTCCTGCAGATGTGAAGGTACGACCACTTCCTCTTGTGATTTCTCTTGCAGGAATAGCTCCTCTCCATTAATGGATAGCGTACCCGAAGCGAAGTCAATCTTACTCACATGCTTTTGGAGGAAGTTGCTTCCCAAAATGCATTCTTCTTTCATGTCTATTAGTAAAAATTCTTCTTCCATCTCGAAGTTTCCAATTTTCAAAGGAAATCGCTCCTTTCCGAAAATTTTCAAATTTTCTCCCGAAACCGAGAAACTCCCACGCTTTCTACACCTGCAGCGTTAAGTGCTTCCCTGGGACCGAACTTGTGTGCTGGTAACAAATTTACGTAGGATCCAGTATCGATAATGATCCTGCATTTTCTTCCATTGATGGATCCCTCGATGCTCATCTTCTCTTGACGATTCACTCTTCGAACGACGGGGGTAGGAGAACTTGAAGTTGAAGGCTCTCCCATTACTCCGACTTTTTCCCGTTCCCCTTCTCTTCGGTTTCTCTGTCTTCCTCATCCGGCAATCCCGTTGGAAGTGTTCAATCTTCCCGCAGATCCAGCACTCCGGTTGCTTCTCGGGCCTTTTTCGAGGGACCTTGCCAGCTGGTCCGACTTCTATTCGTTAAGTCTAGTTAATTATCCCGCAAGGTACCTTCTTGAGCCGCATTGCACTTAAAAAAAGGGGCACAGATTTTAGTACCCGCACTTCATCAGCGGTGACCCATGAAGTGCTTTCGACGGCTTCGATCTGCAGGGCCCGAATAACGGTATCCCTGAGAGATGCAAACCCGCCGAGTCTCAACGCTCTTTTCATCTTTTCATTGGCCAGAGCTGACACGAACTGGCAGGCCGCCAGTTTGTCCCTGATCTCGGTAGGGCATTCACAAAAGGCAGCCTGCGCCAACCTCTCTATCTGCCTGGCTAAATCGGAAATGGACTCTTCTATCCGCTGTTTATAATTTTGAAATATGACGAAATTAAAAATTGGTTAAATTTTTCGTTCCGTAATGGAACTCCAGAGCCCAACCGATCGCGGTGTAATTTTGTAGACTACCAGCGGGGACGGAAGTGAGTACACTCCAAGCAGAGCCCTCCAGCGATGAAACCAAGGTCAACGCCTTCCTTGGTTCATCCCACCTGTTCGCTGCAGCCACAGCCTCAAATTGAAATTGGTATTCATTCCGCCCATTCCTTCCATCGAAAACGGGTGGTCTCACGACATATCTCAGATTCGGTATGCCGCGAGGTCCGCTGTTGCCTTCGACAAGAGGAGTCGACTGTAGAGCTGGCTGAGTCGAAGCCGCGAGTCTGAACGGGTCTGCTGTTACAGAGTCGCGACTTACGGACGAGATCACCGTTATGATCCTTTGTGCTAATGTCTCTGTATTGGACGTGATAACCTGTTGGTTCGCTTTCATCGCTGCAACTTTTCCTTCTAAGACGGCTTCGCGGGCTGCCAGGGCCGTCCTACAGGAAGCCTCCCTCTTTTCAGATAGGACCCGCCATTTCTTCATCTGGTCCTCGAAGGATCGTTGTTGGTTGTTTAGTTGTTGGCTTAAACTACGTTGGAGAGCTTCGAACATCTTCTCCAACGACGAAGGAACATCTTCCGTGGGACTCGCACGGCTGCGAATTCCACTTCTAACACCAATGTTGCGCTGGGTCGGTTCAGGGGTGCTCGCCCGCGACATAATTGTGTACTCAACGTTCTTTTCAAAGTTCTATTTACAATTATATACAAATATTGTACAATATAGTCTTTAATTCGATACGTATTTTCTCGTTCACGTTCGGTTGGAGACTATTCGCTTGTCTTCGTTTACTCTCTGACCAACTCCTCAGCGATCGGTTTATTTTAACCGCCTTTAGGTCCTAAGGGTTGGTTCAGCCGTGCGTGCTGGAGGGACGAGTTTGATATATCGCAACCTCGCCAGTTCGATGTATCGCGACAATATTATTTGTACGTGTCAAAACTGTCTCCGACGTAGCAGATTAAGTTTTAGTATTCGAATGGTTGAATATACATGAGATGTCAAAATAGAAAAAACATAACGTTTGCAAATAATAAATGCAATAACATTATCCATCCATGGTGGTATTATATTCTGTATGAATTTAAGACGACTGCATCAATTCTAAATGCCAGTAAATATGAAATACAATCAATCTTTCCTAAATTCATAAAACATGAACAGATTGAAAATTAACTTTGAAGAAAAAGTTCAATTTCCAAGGATATTTGTTTCATAAAAAGTTTGAGAGATGAAGAATGAAAATAAAATTAAACAAGAGTGTGATGTTGAATAAAGATAAAAAGCCGGATAAGAAATCCAGTTTTTACGAGATACATTTTCACTTCACGGTTGGATATTCAACGGTGATGAATCCCTGAATAAGAGCAAAGTCGAACAAGTTTAAACATATAATAAACAACGCAAAAATTAAATAAGTTCAAACTGTTCAAAGAACTCAGAGAAGCTTGTGAACATGCGAAATAGTTAAACTTTGAAACGATTATTTGTAAGAGCGTCAGAAAAGAATTAATAGCGAGGACTTGCTACGTAACGAACTTTTTATTATATAGTTCTGTATTATCACGTGATAAACCTTTTATTACTCAATTTGGCATCGGTTAAACGAGTATTTTCTTGCAAGAAAATAAACCAAGACAGAAAAAATGTAATACTGTAATTTGTAATTTTCCTACAATACGAACTAGCTTTTAACATGTTGAACACTGCACAATAAAACATCTTATACATGGAACGAAAGAAATGAAATATTTCCATCACAAGTTAGGCTCGTAACACTAAATGTAAAAACGGGAATGTGCACATTATATACATTTTCTTTGTGATAACAGATTTTAATTAGTCTTAATAAGTACTTTAAGCGATGTGTTCTTGCAAAAATCATGTGTAACGTTCGAATTTTATTTTAACAGTTTCAGTGTCGACAACCATTGTAAGCATCTGAAGAATGTGAAATTGCGCGACACGTTGTTTTTTCATAATTATACAGACTGTCGTCAACTTTGTATGTAACTTTATAACAAAGTATTTTTCAACGAATTTTATACATGTGTAATATTTTTTTCTTCTTATCTGTAGTTTAAGATTTTACAATTTGGCTGTTTAAGTTTAAGACACCTTGTATGAAAATGCATATTGTAAATATAATGTAATGAAATGTTAAATTCATTGTCTATAACAGCTGATAAAATAGCATACTGGAATTCGTGCAGATTGTACTACGATGGGTTGGTAGTTTCTGATAAGACGTAACATTATGTTACATAACACTCAAACGGTTAAATAAACAAACAATAACTTAGGAGAAAAATGTCTAACTGTTTTTACTCTAGGAACTGCACGAGTCTTACTCTTAGTTAATCAACCCTCCTACCATGAGAAACTTAAATAGTATTTACTAAAAATGGAAAACATTTTAATTATTTAGTTTCAGGTTCTCCTCGCCGATTTTGATGATTTTTGGATATATTATCCGGAACGTAATTCTAAGCAACTTTTTCCTATATATAAAAGACTCGTCGGGTCTTAGTTTCCGAGATAATAGCAAAAAACGTTGTGATACTGGCTCTGGAAGGATTGTTAACAATTATAAAGTAAAAGAGTACCCTCCCCCCAAACTACCTCGACTAATACCAACACCAATTGTTATTATTTTTGACACGGGAATAAGTTGTTGAAAACATCGATTTTTACAATAGACGTCAACTTTGTGAAAATCTGTTAATTACTACTCGATTACTGCAGTATTACTCCTTTTTAATGTACACCTTACTCATAATTGGGCCTGTACCGCTATTATGTTATCGGCCAATTGACGGTCGGCGACGTAAACTACTACAGCGGAGAGAGCTGTGTGTTAATCGTGTATGTGTAGGCAAAAAGTTTTTTACGATTATCTAAGAAACTAAGACTCAGCGAAGCTTATATATACAGGGTGTTCACACTATTACTAGCCAGCCTTTACCTTGTAAATAGTAAATATTAGAAAAAAATGAAAGAGGAAAAAGTAGTACTGTTTTTCATACGCACACAATGGCATATGTAATCTTTTTGTGTTTATACTATTTTGTTAGATATGAAGGTGACCTTCATTTTTTTAAACAGAATGCTGTATATTTTTTTATATCACATAAAAGAGTGTGTCTAGGCGAATTCATTCGTATACTGCACGGTAACCTTCAAGGTCATGCAAGGTCAGGAATGGAAGGAACATTTTGAATATTATACATAACGTAATTAAAGTATAAAAAGACAGTACTACTTTTTCCTCTTTCATTTTTTTCTAATATTTACTATTTACAAGATAAACGCTGGCTAGTAATAGTGTGAACACCTTGTATATAGGAAAGAGCTATTTAAAATTACTGACTCGACAACATATTAAAAGATTATCGAAATCGCTGAGAAGAATCTTAAACTAGATAATTACTGAAAACTTTTATACATATGTATTTGTAGTGGTGATTAGCTTGCTCATATGGTGTTCGTGCAGCAATTGAAGGAAGAAAGAAGGGACATATGGTTACTATTATTACCACTCTATTCATTCGCGGTGAATTCTGCCATCACCCTTACAGTTGCTACCAAATTAATCGCATAATATTATGACATTACGGCGTGGTGACCAAGCACCGCTATTACTCATGTAATTAACCTAGTAGTAATAATGGGGATAATGGGGAAAACTCACCGCAAGAGAATAGAGTAATAATAAGAGTAAAAAGGCTTGATCTGGTCACATTAAAGATAGGTATGGCCCATCTCCTACAGCTATGCCGACTAGGCGAAGAGAGGAATAAGCCTTCAAGTTAGAATATATAAAAATTCACTAACATTACACGTAAAGCTATAATAAAAGAAAAACGTTTCTTTATTATTACCTGAGTGGTACACCTGTTTGCGTTAAATTAACTTCGGTGTGGTCATTTTTTTCCGAAATAGTGATAGTCACATCGCTGAAGTGACCATCAGGCCATTGTTTACAACGCCACCTTTGAACAATCTTTGTAGGCGTAACTTCGACAAAGTCTCCATAAATATTACCACCAAATAATTCAAACTTCCCAGCTTTCTTTGGTTCTAGTTTTACCGGTCCTTTCGTAAATGCTTGAACCATCTGTGAAAAAAAGATTAGTGATGTATACAAAACTTTTCTATCAAAAAACATTTTTTTTTTGTAATACATGGTTTTGTAACAATTTCATAAATATATCAAATAAAATTAGATTCCAATTTCCCAGTTTCAATGTAATAGAAGAGATATTGAGAAATCCAAAAAATAAAACAAATTTATCAAATAAATTCATAAATCTTAAAATTGATAAAATATGCTTGCCCTTGTCACATGATTCGTCAATTCGAAATATCACTAATAACGAAAGAAGATGAGCGTAATCTTATTATTGTAGTTGTTAATAGCAATTACTTATATTGTAAAATATAAATAATATCTCGAAAGTACCTCTGCCTAAAGAGAAATCTTCACTGCCATATGATGACTCCTTTTGTACCATGCAATTTTTGTTAAACGAATTTTTGTCTTCCTTTATTTCGAAGATACGGCAATAGTCACTATACCGCTCAGTATATGATCATTCAAAATATTCTAAAATAGTAATTGATGTATGAGGAGGATAAACAACGAAAATAATTTCATACATGCTTTTATTGTTACATGACTAAATGAAATGTTATTTGAGTAAACTTGTTTATGTTTTATTTATCCAGTTATGGATGCTGAATTTACATAAGCTTTCTGAAGCTCCTGATGTAACTCCTAATCTATATATAGAAGGTGTCCCTATGAACAGCAAAATATTTCAAAAAGTATAAATGACACGAAAAATGTTTCAAGTAAAAATTGTAGGGTACAAAGGGGCACATATGGCGATAGTATGTGTTTAACCATGTAACTTTTTTTGCTTATTTTTGTAGCTGATATTCATATATTTTCAAAATATTACAAATTTGTTGTGTTCGCATAAATCATTATCGAGATATAAGCATGTAACTACGTGCCCCAGACATTAGCGTTACTCGATGTACACCGCGGAGAAGTTACTTGACAATGCTCGCATCCATGTAAATTCTGTTCATTTATGGATCGTCATGTTGTTTTGCACATATGATATTATGTTCTACATGTAAAATCGGAACTTTAATCAAGAACTTCAATAAAAAATCAGCGTATCCAGTTTAGATGTTGATACCTCAGCCAATTTTGATAACCAGTTCCATTTAAATATGATAACTTGAGTGTAACAGGTCGTTTCAAAGTTACTATAAATTCAAACACATACCATCACCGTATATGCTCTTTCATACTCTACAAATTCTTTCTAAAATATTTTTCAAAATATTTTATTGTTCATAGATGAACTGAACACCCTATATATGTATACGTTAGTCGAAAAGTATTTGTCAGGAAAGCGTGCAACGATAGATTTTAAACGTCCACTGCTTTCTCTAATTTGTCAATACCGTACCATCATCAGAATCAGTTGAATAAGAACTTACTTTTTATATATAACTTTTAACTTAAGCACCTTAAATATCTCATTTACTTATTTCCATAAGAAAATGTTCCAGAAAAAAGTATTTGACTTGAAGCTTTTTTCAAAACTTTGAAGGATTTATATTATGACCCTTACATGACCTTGAATACAAAAAAATGTATGAAAATCGAACAGTTGATAAAAATAATGAAATAACAAATAGGACTGTATTTACAGAAAATTTATTTTGATAAATACTTAAAATCATAAGGAATTAATTAAAAGGATTAATGAATGTTACTCTAGTTCTTCTTATACCCTCCCCCCTAACAATAAATACTAAAATATACAGTTGGAACACGTTCGTTTTGGTTCTCCAGTATTGTCAGTAACCGAGGTTTGATAAAACCATTCAGATCATAGAATGGAAAAAAGACTTGAAGACTAGCATACTCCGATATATGCGGGCCTATGAAAACAGAATCAATTGGTGGTCAAAGTATTTTGTTACGTTTATCGACGATTATAGCAGGTACACCGAAATAACAATGTTACATCGTAAATCGGAAGTTTTTAACGTTTTTGAAAACTATTAGGGTGTCCCATAAGTTTCTTTCTTTTTTTATATATGAAATCAATACACGATATTTGTTGTTTAAGGTTGATTTATTGCGTTATATATGAACCGTTCTGCTCTATTACCTTCCATCTCTCAAGAAGCCTCATTATTTCTCTTTCCCAAAATTGTAGGGGCTTACTTGCAAAATATTCCTCGGGGTGCGTTTTTATTTCGTTTGCGGATTGGACCCGTTTATCACGAAGAGAATTTTTTAATGATAAGAACAAGTGATAACACTGTGGAACAAATTTGAACATTTTTGTATCTTGCAATAATTACTAGGTGAGTTCCCTACCTTAAATATGAATCCGAAAACCAAGTTGCTGAGTCACGTCCAGTTTTCGAAAAAAATGGGATTTTGTAAAAATGTTTTGATTGCGAAAACCTTTCTCATAATTATTACGAAAATTTAAAAAATAATTAAACATTATATATACATATAAGAAGTGACCGCAGTCCAGGTCTATACAACGCGTAGTCACGGCCCTGAATAGCTGTGGTCGTGTGGTGTCCAAGTTCAATGCACGCTGTCTTCACGGAGATTTTCTTAAGTTGCCTGAAAGAAAAAGCATTTTCGCGCTTCCCGCGGAGGGGTTCCTCTCTAGAAATGTCTGCAGAATCCAATGGTGCATAGCAAATTCGTGCTAGCCAACCCACTTTTCGTAGAAATGTAACAGAAGTGCGTACAAAGTACACACATTTACCCTTTTTTTATACTTTGATCGTCATTTACAAGCATTTAGTGGCACGCAATATTCAAAGTTTTTATAGCTACATATTTAATCAACTCTCCTTTACTTTTTGCGACAAATTTTAACTACCCATCGTTTTTAGTTTTCACGTAACACTTGGTTCTCTGAAAAATTCGACCGTTTTTACAAAAGCCCAGTTTTTTCGAAAACTGGACCTGACCCAGCAATTTAGTTTTCAGATTCGTATTTAGGGTAAGGAACTCTGTAAGGACCACCTAGTGGCTATTACAAAACAAAAATCGTGTTCCACAGTGTTACTTATTCGTAATGCATTACACAGGTAAAGTATTTTAGTTTTAATATTATCATTGTTCATTATGCTATATTATTATGTTACTTTTTTTATAATATATTATTTATGTCTTATAAACACATAAAAATAACAAATATATTCCAGAACAATCGACAGATTGAATAAGAGAAATGACAAATGACTCCCATTAAATTACTCTCCAAACATGTTCAAGGATAAACCGGAGAAGAATAGACATAAGATATGTATATAAAATATCCTATACTTTAATTATTCATGTACAAAGCTATATGAAAGTTCAATAATTTGAAATATCAATGTAAAATAGATGTTAATTTGTTTAAAAAGGACATAGTCGAGTAAGGAGGGGTAAAAGTGCCCTCAAATCGAAACGCTTTCGCACATACCATTCGACAGATCTCTTGAAAAAACCTCTTTTTACCAAGCTTCAAGCCCCTACCTCCTATTATGAGAGTAATTACAGAGTGGAATGCTATGCATAGTTTATATTTAATATTTTATGTTCTGTTTGAAAAAAAATTGAGAATGATACACCCTTCCAAAAAATCTGGAAAAATGGTAAATTAATAACTATAACAAATTACAATATTTCTAAAAATATGAATACGGTAGTACGTATAATTGGGCCAATAATGTAGAAAAATATCAGTTTTTATTCTTTAAACTGCGTTCCCACAATTTCAAAAATATGAAAAACTAGAGTATTAATAGTCATAATAAGATGGTAATTCCATGGAAATATAAAATTGGTACTCTCATAATTTAAATAAAAAATTAGCATTTATAATATTTTCGAATTTCTTGAAAATTAATTTTGCAATCCAAAATTCTGAAAAAGTTCCCTAGAAATGCACATCCACGCCTAGAATAACTATAATTTTTTTAAAGAATTTTTTATCAAACAGAACAAAATATCAAGCAACTGTGTATAACATTCCACTTTGTAATTACCCTAATAGTAGGAGTAGGGGCTTAAAACTTGGTAAAAAGGGGTTTCGCAAGAGATCTATCGAATAGTATGTATGAAGCGTTTTTGTTTGAGGACACTTTTACCCCTCCTTACCGGACTATACCCTTTACTTGGACTGAACTGTGAAAGGGCAAGCTTTTAAAGATATGAAAAACTTCTTTTCCATTGAAGGGTAAGCATTTTTCCAATCTATTTTCGTTGAAAAGCTAATGTCGATTCTGGAATTAAGTATTTATATTCTTTAATAGTAAGAACGACTTACCTCATTCGTCGTAAGCACATTGTAAAATTCTTCCGCTCTGCATTGGAACGTCTGTCGCTGCTTGATCGTGGTTGTTGAAATTTTCGTTCCTAACTCTTTTTTATTTTGCGATGACACCACTGTGGAATTCATTTGCATCTTCAACAATTAATTACAAAATTCTTAATTAATAAACCATACAATAGAAGAAACTTAAGTAATATCTATAAATCATTGAAAATTAAGTTAATATACACGGTAATTTCACGCCAAATCGATCACTTTTTACCGTCGATATCAGCAATTTCGTTAAATATAAAATACGATGTACAGTGAACATTGGATAATTGCAACATTGAGTACCTCTTCATAACTGCAACACCATTATCCCCACCAGGTTCCTTTTAATATACCATAGCGCTCGACGACCGGCCGCGATTGAAGAGTGTATCAGCCCACTATTGTCGAACTCAACAAATTTAAATGTCTCTTTTTTTCTACACGCAATTTTTTTCTATATCCGAAGCTTCAATAACTTTTTATACAATCAATTATGATTGTAAATCAATCGTGA